TAAATCTGGTTTATTTCTGTTTACTTTCAGACTTCTTATGACACCATCTCTATGGGAGGAGTCAGTGAACGCCACAGCATCCCAAACGTGAGCCTTCATTAATAAATTAGGACTAAAGATTTGATTTTTAGATCCTAATACTCCATCATTTTAACAGTGTTTGTCCCGATCACTGTTCCAACTTCTTCTATCTTTGTCGCGGTTTGTTCCTGCAGAGTTCCTTTATTCTGTCTCATGGTCTCACCTTGTGGACGCCATGTTTCTGTCTTCTTATTTTGAATTCCCTGAACAGAGCGGGGACGCCTCAGAGGGACACGTGACGAGAGCCCAAATAGGGCGGATCCCCAGCATCGTCATCACCTCCGAGACCAGCCCCTTCCTGCCCATCGGGCGGAGCGGTTCGCGCACGAACCGAGCCAAAGCGTCCAACAACAACGCGGGGGCGGGGCCTGGATAGAGCCCCGCCCTCCCAGCTCCACAGCAGTCATGAAGCGGACCCACTCCCTGGCAGAACCACCCATCAGATAAAGCAGGGAGTAAATCCATCATGGACGTTTGGACTCCTCTAGAAGCTGAAGCCGGTTTCTGCAGCGCAGCTTCTGCTCCAACCGGTTAGATGGATGGATGGTTCTGTTGGCTCGTCCAGTCGGGTCTAACGTGACCCAAACTCAACACATTCACAAAGGTCTCAGGTTTAGCTGCCATGCTGCTTGAAGCCCAATCAAAAAAATATTTGACCTGAAATATAATAAAGTGTGCAAATAACCTGAAAACAGTCAATTAGAAACAAATACTGCAAAAAACAAACAAGATCCAGACATGAAGATTAGTAAAACTGCACCATTCAGATGACAATAATTTAAACATTTATACCTTTAAATGTATCATTCAGAACCCATCTGGATTAAGGCTTTAAACCAGAAATATTCCACCGTTCTGTATCTATAGCCTCTGTGTGGTGTTTCCTCTTTCCTTTCCTCTTCTTCTTCTAGAACATCTCTCTCTAGTTTAGCCTTCAGTCAGGCGGGTTTCAGGTCGTTAAGCTGAGCTTTAATGATGCTCTAAATGTTTTGGTCATAACCTGATCTGGACCGGTTCTGGGTTCAGGTTTTTAGTTAGGAATATTTCACAGGGTGTCCATTAAAGCTGAAACAATCACATTATTTAAAAAATCTTCAACCAATTTAGTAATCGATCAATCATAAAGTGTATAGAGACGGTAAAACATGTTTTTAGCTGACAGAGCGACCCACTTAGAGCAGGAATTATGATAATTGTAAAAAAGATAAATAAATATTTTGTATTTAAGATTAAAAAGCTTCATCCTGCTCTATAATCCAGAACTCCTCAAGTGGAAAACTTTTAGTTTCAAACGGTCTAATTTCATAAAAAAATCTTCTCATAGATACCTTTAGCTATCTGATTATTAATCGATTAATCAAAAAATAATCGAGATCAATTGATTTGCAAAATAATCATCAGTAGCAGCCCTAATGTAAACCTTAGTGTGTCGAATCTTTAGGCTTTAGGGGGTCTGGTGGTTCCCTCCCCTGGAAAATGTTGATATTTAGACTCTGAGACGTTATTTCCTGCATGTTGGAGGTAGAATGCAGCTAACTTTATGTCTTTGTTCCAACTCTTCTGCTCTGATTATGGGAAGAATGTGAACTTGACTAGAGCTGGAAGGTTCATAAGGAAGTTATGAGATAATTTTTAGCTAAAATATTATGTTTCATAGTTTAATTCAAACAATTAGAACGTCTGATGCTACGTTCACA